GAGCCGACGTTAACGAAGGTAAGTTTGTTTTAAATATTGATTTTATAATGGCTTTAAAACCCGACGGCCTTTGCGTATATGAAACAACTAAACAAGACAGCATATACAAATTTCAGTGTAACTTTAATATTGATTCCCTTTTTTATTATATTGAATTTTTTAAATGAAAAATAAAGCAAAGACCAAAGTTATTTGCAAGCGAGAATTTGAAATCTTTTTATTGCAAACTCAAAGTTTATCGATAAAGCCATTTAATAGTTAAAGGCAGTTTAGTTTTATAAAGAACACTTTAAAACGTTTTGTGAATTGTTTGTGGTTGAATTTTACCTTAAATTGAAGCTTGTATTACGTATAATTACATACCTAACATAAATATGTTGGGAAATTGATAATTTGGTAATTAAAAGTGATATTTTTAGGCGATATTCATTTGTAAGAATATTCTTAAAAAATTATCGTGTTACCATGACAACTACTCTAGATACTTCCTGTTCGGAAAATACAACGGTTTTGTCAGCAAGGCGAGGGTTTCTGCATGCATGTATTTTCTAGTACATGAATAGGTACAATGCATTTAATCTTTATTCTAGTTATTGATTAGTAGTCGAATTCAATCCAAAAATAATTATTGCATGCCATAGAGTCCAAGCATAGTGCTTTAACTTAAACAAAGAACTATTCAATGTATTGTCAAAAAATTACAATAACAGCACCCAAAAGGCCAGGAAATGATGCAAAACTATTGAATTCTACTAACTGGCCCCTCGTCTGTTCCGTTTTGCATGTACCATAAAACAATTTGGATCTGCATATGTTTGTATCAAACATTTGGTACATTACTGCGTATTTTATGTTGTTTCACAGGATGAATTTCAGCAATATGGAATAGATTGGGATGGCCCTGTTCCAGCTGAGGACAACATGGACGTTGATGCAGTTGAAGTCCCAGAAACAACTTGTCCACTGTCTCAAGAACATCTTGATGAACTCGTAGCTACAATAGATCCACTAAGGGAAAGTAACTCGTATGGGATTTATATATACCGGGTGGCCCAAAAAAAAGTACTCCGGTTTGATTTGTAATAACTTCTAAACAAGTAAAGCTATCAAACAGAAGTAACTTGCATTAAATAGAGGAAGGACTAACTTAGATTTTGATATATTACAGTTGCATTTTACTTAAAAATTCACGGAGATATTAATGTTCAACATCGGGAGCATATTTTGGGATGTGTCTAAAATTAGCGAAAATCGGCGTATCAAATTTTAACTCCAGCGTTTGTTTGCTTAATGACATATCAGGGTAACTTGTATTTCAGCGAATTGTCGTTAGGGTTTGTAAGCACGCCGGGCACAGATGAATCGGAAAATGACATGTTGTCAAAACTTGTGATCAGCGGAATACACCTATCGGCGATACATAATGTTTACGAGTTACATGAAGTATATCTAATTGTAACAGCTTGAAACTATGGAAACCACATAAAAAATGGCGGCCGAATTTAGTGTGGAAGCAGCGATTGATGCCGTTTTTGAGGACGAAAAATGTGACGATGGTGCTGAAATGTTGAAAACTAATAAAGCTGTAGCAGAAAATTGTGAATTCAATCAACCAAGCATTTCTCGTTTATTGTTCGGATGCAAAATAGACGCAGGGTCCGTTTTCAGGAGGGAATCATTCATATGGCTCGAAGGAATTTACAGAAGGATGGCTGCAAGACGAAGCATTAGACGGCCATACTATTCCGAGATTAAAAGGGATATTCCACAAGAACTTTTTCTTGTACTAGTGCAATCAATTGAACGTCACAAAAGCCAGATATTTAACCCTCCAAACTGTTATGTCGCCCGAAATAAAAAAGCTATTGTTGTCTCTTTCACCTCAATTGTATCGGTGAAAAACTTTTTGAGTTCGCTTAGTTCAAAAGATGTTACTGGTTATATGAAAAGGACCTTGGCTGGTTATCGTAAAGGTCACCGTGTTAATGTCTTGGTAACGGACACAAAAGATTTTGCTTTAACTTATTATATTCGCAAGGGGCAGCTGATAATTTCATTTAACTTTGGTGAGTGGAATGCCTACGGATTTCCCCAACATGACTGTAACAGATAGTAAACACTGCACATTTCAATTTGCTAAACTTTATTGAATAGTTGCAATGGTTTGAAACATGTCTCATTTTGAGATAAACTCTCCTATAGTAAAACATTTGCAAAAATGTAATTATGTTAATATGTTATGCTCCAGGCTAGGCATATTTGGCATAATAGAATCTGTTAAATGTCAATTTTACTACCCTAGAAGTATTTTTTGTTCTCACATGTCACAGACGGTCTGCGATTGTTGATGGTGCTCTCAAAGGCCATGGTCGTTTGATCATTGATGGGGAATGATTTTCAGTGAAAGATTTACAAGAGACAAAGGATTTTATTCATCAATGATCAACGACAATTAATGACACTGGTGAAGCATTGCCGGACCATTGGCTACATATTATGTCATAGGTCTCTTGGAAAAGTAGCTTGCTGTGTTGCATCATTATGTATATTATTTCCCAAGGTTGGCAAGAAAAATATATGCGGGATGACAGCTGCTGCTCGCCCGACATCACAAAATAAAGCTAAAGGCTGACTGAAATCTTGGCCAATCAGAGAGCCTTATTTTGTGTCGTCAGGTGAGCAGTTGTCATCCCACACAGTTGGGAAAAATTTAATTTTAGTGAGTAAAAAATGTGATGAATTTTCACAAAAATTTTATTCACTCATTTTAATGTGGTGAAAGAAAAAAATGTAATGCAGGATCTCTATCTACAAGTTTTTCATCATTTAGTTTTTGTATAGTGTTGGATCAGTATTTTCTTGCCAACCTTGGGGAATTAATATACAGTTTATAATGCAATGCATGCACTATGTAGCACGTACTTCATTTAATACGAATTATAGAGGTTTTAGTGTTATTAATCAGCAACAGAGAATATAAACATTGCATTAACCCATTAAGCGCGAGCGCTCTCCCCTTGTCAAGTAAAATCGCCTGACGTTAGACGAAGTAAAATATTAAAGTAGGGTGCGCCATGGTGCAATGCGACAAAATGGGTCAAAGCAATTTTATGATTTTTTTTCAAAATAAAAGACCTTTTAGGGAGACCTATGATTATGTTACATATTACCCTTACCTAGAGCTAACTTTGATAAGTACATAACTTTTATTAAACATCATAAACTTTCATAAAATGCCAGACAGTAAAGTTTCTTTTATGCACTTTGAATGCTTTGCCCTTTGTGGGTGACGAAAATATGCACTGGGAACCCGTTCCCCACATGGACCAAACTTTACTGTTTGTATAAAATGTATAGATAACATACATTAAATTATTTGCTTAACAATTGTAAAAACTAGTAAGTTCATGTGTGGTGTGCTATCATGTGTGGTGTGCTATGCAGTAATCAACTATAAACATTTACTCTAAACATGCAGAGGTAAAAGATAGTGGCTGGATGGTTGCAGCACTGCATGTCGCTCCTCACCAAATTGAGTAAACAAATGGTGAGGCAGCAGTGGTAGTGTTATTCAGAGCATCGGGAGGAAAATCTTCCCATGAAATTAGTTCCCTAAATAATAATTCAATTTTGGGATGATTTCTGCACGAGAATTTCTACACCAGCTGTCTTGCAAAAACACAGCAACAATATGAACTGCATAAAATGGCATTCCGCATGTACACGGCTCAGGGATATATTAGTTTTTGGATGTTGGGTGGGAGGTTCCCCCTAAATTTCAGGGGGGGGTTTATTTAGGGGGGAATTCCCCCTCGGTAATTCCCCATCTAAAGATCATTCTGTCCCTTTCAACTGTTGACTTTGGTGTAAATGGGGGGAAATGCTCCCACCCAAGATTTAGCTCTTTTTAGATTTGGATGGGAATTCAGAATCTGTGGGGTGGGGGTGGGGGGATTCCACCCCCCACCTGATCCCATCCCCCAAGAAAATACCCCTGATGGCTAGATATTTTTAGAATATTGTTGAAAAGTGAAACAGGTTTGTATCCCTTTGCCCAATTGCCCAAACATTGCATAGACAAGACATACCAATCTCCATCAACACTCACTTACATGCTTTTTCAACCCTTTTAACAATATCAGCCCTTAATGGATGAATGCAGTACTTGCATCCAGAAGACTGTTCTTCTTTCTCCAGCCCACAATTACAAAAGCCAGGTTCCTTAATACGTTTAGGCTCATAAACCAGAACACTTGAGGTGATAGGTTTTGTGGTGTTATAGCCCCTTTCACGGAGCCAGATTAAGGACACATACTCATGTAAAAAGACCTGTTCCCACCTGCTGTGGTAATTAGTGTTCCCACAATATCGGGAAATAGAAATGTGCTTGGCTTCTCTTCCTTCCATGGAGTTCAAGCCAAGCCCCATTCCATACTTTGTTTTCATTTCCTGTGTATGGACAGGCACAACATGACCCAAAGTCCAAGCAGTTGGGTGATGGCGAAAGAAAAGATTGTTAAGTGCTATGTAAGTCTTACAGTGATGCTTGAGCTCAACAATTTCATTGCTGGTGATATGAATGCGACTAAAAAGGGAAACACACTTACGTAAAGTCAGGCAAAGATGTGACAGGGCATGAAAAACCAATTCTTGTCGGGAGCCTTTCTTTGCAAGTGGCTCTACAACATCAATCAAGTACATGAAATTATGCAAAAATCCCCTGGAATCCTTTCCAGTAAAGCGGTAATCAAATGGCTTTCCATCACCTCTTGTATCATTGAACCACTTTACAATTCGGTTCGCAAGACGAGATAGGTGGCATTTGGTTTTCATTACCATAACAAATCTAGCTATGGGAGATTTGTCAGGAATTTGGGAAAATACTTTAACAGAATCTGGCAAATGGGAAAGCATCATAACTTCGCCCAGTAGATACCGATGCGCAAGGGCACAAGCATTATTTTTCAGGTGCAAAGGCTCAACATGAGCTCTGTCAACAATTTTCCCTAAAAGAGGTTCAAATTCTTGCCTGCTACTCTTTCCAGCAATAAAGCTTGTAACTTTGGATCTCTTAGTGGCATCAGAAAGAATTTGTTTTGAAAGCTTCTGCTTCAACTGCTCAACACTTTTAACAACTTTCAATCTCTCTGAGTACTTCCAAGGCTTCCATTTGTTCTTCCCTTCCCTTCCAAATGTCCCACAAACATCATTAGCATTGTCATTGGACACATTTGCAAAGGATGAGAAAAATTTTGCACTATTGCTGAGTTCTCCCCCTAAAAATGATAACATTTTCATGTCATTGGGGAGTTCACCAATGCGAAATTTAACACTGACTTGCTTGCCATTATGACAACAGGTGATATTATCATTTTTTTCAATCTGGCAAATGTCAGCCAAAAGAATTTTAATAAACCTTTGGACAACAATGCAATTCTCACTGCAGTTTGCTCCAAAGAGCAAGTAGTTTTCATTACTACTTAATATCCCCCTACCAATATTCAGAAAGCCCACAAGCCATGCACAGGCTGTGTCATACTTTCCAAAGGGGGCACCATCACCTCCCAAGGAAACAAAAAATGTGTATGGTTCTGTAAACCATGTTATCGAATGCCCACTACATCCGGAGAGATAAAACTCAGCTAACTTCACTAACATCTCGTTCAGCCTACGATAGCACCCACGAACCTTATCATCATCATCCAACCCATCACACAATGTGTCATAAGTGCTATAAATAGTTCCCAAAGGAATTGACTTGATGTAGGGCATTAAGCGATTATAGGGTACAAGCCTAGGTAAAGGGCAATTATTGATTATGTTTAACCGAACAGATTTTCCTCCCTTGCCCTTTAATCGATAGCAACTATCTTTATATATTTTACGGTACTTCTTTTTCCCCACAATACCGCCACTATAATACACAGCTATGCTCCTAATTAAATTCTCTTCCGACGACTCATAAGAATTTAACAATTTCTTATACACTCTGGGCATGACTGAGCGCTTGAACTTTTTGCTAGAAGACATGACATCAACTAAAATATCTTTAGAAGTCTTTACCATTGCTGTGTCTAGCAAACCTATCGATGTTGGAACCGATAATTTGTCCTTTCCACCATGAATAGTCCTGGCTGCTTCAAATGTTCGTTTTCTTCTCTGCCTGGCTAACGAAGGACTTAATCCATTCTTTCCATTGACTAGAAATGTAGGAGTCCTCCACTTTCTTTTCCCTGCACTATCATCCAGGTCTGAAATTGAAATTTTTTCTCAGTATGCAACTAGGATACCAGGGTTCACAGTTTTGGAATCCCCGAGATTCCAGAATCCCACTGGATACAGGTTACCATAAGCGGTATTTACTGACCCATCTAAATAATAACTGTAATCACACAAGCACACAAGTTGCTTTTATATTCAGAGTGCAGTTTGACATGTATTTTCTAAAGTTATTGGCTGAAATGCATTTTGAAGTCAGTAAATGGCATCAATAATACATTAAAATGCAAATGATCTTTTAATAAACTACAATATATTTTGTCAAACCAGAAAACTTGTTGCATTCACAAGCTGACTGGTGGCTATAAGGGACATAACAGTCCTAATATCTGAAATTTTGAAGTATCCAGATACAGGTAATCCCCAGTTTGGCACCCAAAGCCATATTTTAGTATCTCGTGCAGTTTAGGATACTGCAAATCTTAGACCCTGCATGAACACTACACTGAACACTACACTGAATACTACACCGAGTTTCTGGAACTACCTGATGTCTGAGGCTGAACTAGCTCTTTTTCTATGTCTTGTAAGTCCTCAACTTCTTTAACTATCTTGTCGATCTTATATACAAAAAGCAAGGCAGGAAGAAAGCATAAGTAACAATTAACATAATTATTCAAAATATCAACTTTATTATGTTTGCGATGTTACTCTGAGTGCATATCCACACCGGGCGAGCTTGAAATATATGCCTGGCCACGGTGGGATTCGAACCTACGACCTTTGGAATACTAGCCCAATGCTCTTTCAACTGAGCTACGCGGTCAGGACGGTTCGAGTAAGTGATATTTCGGAACAGTATCTAGTTCCTTCAATACCAATGTGTTCTAGCAATATGAATTTTTTTCTGTGTTGGTGTTGTGTACTCAGGTGAATAATATGTTTGCGATGTTACTCTGAGTGCATATCCACACCGGGCGAGCTTGAAAAATATGCCCGGCCACGGTGGGATTCGAACCTACGACCTTTGGAATACTAGCCCAATGCTCTTCCAACTGAGCTACGCGGTCAGGACGGTTCGAGTAAGTGATATTTCGGAACAGTATCTAGTTCCTTCAATACCAATGTGTTCTAGTAATATGATTTTTTCTGTGTTGGTGTTGTGTACTCAGGTGAATAATATGTTTGCGATGTTACTCTGAGTGCATATCCACACCGGGCGAGCTTGAAAAATATGCCCGCCCACGGTGGGATTCGAACCTTACGACCTTTGGAATACTAGCCCAAGATCGCCCGGTGTGGATATGCACTCAGAGTAACATCGCAAACATATTATTCACCTGAGTACACAACACCAACACAGAAAAAAATTAATATCAACTTTATTGTTTAAATGCCAGCACTCTCCCCTTGACGAGTAAAATCATCTGGCGTTAGACAGAGTAAAATGATAAACTAGGGCGCATTGGGAGCAATGTGACTCAAAGGTAACATCTGGGGCCTGCTGTTCAAAAGCTGGTGACCTTAGCCCCAGGTTAACAAAATACCACAAAGCGATCTTCCCAACAGCTTGTTATAAACATCGAGATATTTTATGAAATCTGGCCTGGTTGAATAGAAGCTATTTTCTGGAGTTTTTTATAAACGAACATGCAGAAATTCCCAAAGCAATTAAGCAAATCATCGGGTTAAAATTACATGCGTTGACATTAAAACAACCAACCTTGAGGTCCAGCCTTCTGTGTTTCGCTTTCATATTACATAGCTCTTTTCTCTTCTTTTCCTTCTCAGTTGTCAACTTAGAAAGTTCATCATGAAGTGCATCTAAACTGCGGTTTTCCATGACAACTTTCTCCTTCAGTCGCTTTCTCTCTTTGGACAGGTCGCCGATCTTAAAACGTGGCATGGCAATCAACAGCCGCCAGACAGGGTATGTAGATTTCAAATTACAAACAATTGTGCGACTAAATTGGAAAACCGAAACGAAGGCACAACAGATGAACACCAGGGCTTGTCCTTTTTGCATAAGGAATCTACTGATGGCGTGTTGTAAAGAAAATAGACCAAGGGTTAAATCTTGCTTTGTCTGCTATATCGCAGTTTATCTATAAAACGTTAAACATTACAGTTGTGTACAAAGCATCTTTCTAAACGCATACGGCCATGTTTGGTATCAAAATAAAGCTCGTTTCACGTCCTTTCAACGACTGTAGACCGACGTTTATCCGACTTTAATACGTTGCTTCTACGACCCTTTGAAATATGACATTTTAGCGACTCGTAAATTCAATCCCAGTTCCCCGTTTCGAGGCGCGCCAAGATGGAAAAAGTGTTACGCAAGATGTGGCGTTTTTCGCGCCCTTTGTGCCCGGCGTGAAGGGATATGGCGTAGATTTAGACATCTTACATGTAAGTCTTAACTCATTGTTTCCTGAAATATGGACGTTCGAAATTATGTAAGTATTTAATAGGTTTTTGCAAACTTAAGGTACATGAAAGACCATGCAAGGCAGGCGCTTCAATTTTTCTTAAATAACCTATTTTTTATGTTTTTCATGGGTTCAAAACAAAGTTGATTATTTCTCGGTTAGAGCAGGATGAATATTGTTCTTTAATGGAGGAAATAATATTGCTTTTTGCAAATACACATCACAGTATCAAAGATTCTATTTTGTTACGTTTTGTTCCAAAAATGTTGGATGTCTCTGGGGAGTTGCTTGTTATGTCTTTACTTATGGAGTTGTATGGTTTGATTGTGTTTCATTCTCAGTTTATTCTGAACTTGCCAAGATTAAGAAAGGCAAAAGAGTTTGGGTGTTCTTAACAAGATTTCAGAACGTTGCAGAAGTTACAAAATTCATTCAATGTGAAGTGAGAAAATTCACAATTCCAATGTGACAGCGTGCCCTAATTCAGAACTACGAACGATCCATGACGATCCTTCGCGATGCAGTGGTCTCATGAAATAAGGAAACGTATTCGTGCTAGGAACACACGAGGATTTCGGACGCATAAATCTTGCTTGTATTTTGTAGATAATAATACTTTGTTTCATAATAAACAATTTGTCAAGTGTCATTTATTTACAGGTAATAGTGCATGTTTCAGTCGGATAAATCTTGATTAATATTTGATACGCTGTTTTTGGCATATTGCAGACACATCAAGAAATATGCTCCCGATTTTAAACATTAATATCTCCGTGAATTTTTAAGTGAAATACAACCGTAATATATCAAAATCTAAGTTAGTCCTTCCTCTATTTGATGCAAATTATTTCTCTTTAAAAGCTTTACTTGTTTAGAAGTTATTTCGAATCAAACCGGAGTACTTTTTTTTGGGCCACCCGGTATATATATATATTTTGAGACATATGGAATTTGTTAACACCCACATTGCTTAGAAACGAGTGCCACAAGAATTCAAATACAAGTATCAAGGTTTACAACTTTTGTCCTTTGGGGGCAACCCATTTATTATCGTTAGGGGACAACCCATTTATTATCGTTAGGGGACAACCATTTATTATGTGCTGTACGCCAAAAAATGAAAAACTAAACTCCACATTGGACGCAAAGCACAATAGGAATGGCATAGAATACATATAGATAGGCATATGCAAAAGTTGCTATACGTGATGTACGTACTAAATGGTTCACCCTTTTCCATAAGGCTATTTCAGCAACAAAACAACAAAAAATGTATATAAGAATACTGTAGTAGCAAGTATCTGTATTGAGTGTGTAATATTGCACACTTTTGTAGTTTGCACGCTTTTGTGGAGCACCATTAGCTGATCACTTACGAACGGTCAATTCCCATGGAACTATGTAGGAGTGCTATATCTAAATATTTCTTGAATTCTTCGTACGACTTATGCATGGTTGGAAGCGTCAGAATTGAAAAGCAGGTTTCTGCCAACGGCAATTTACATTCACCCTCGTCAAACTTTACCTGTAACGTTGCACCTCGTGGGGGCAATTGGTTGGTAGCCGTCCAAAAACAGCATAATAAGTCCGTCAGAGAAGGCCTATCTAAGTAAGTAGAAATAATTACGCATGTTGGCTTTTGGGTGAATCGAAAAATTAATGTTTACCCTTACAGTACACTACGTATGTAATAGATTAGGTGGCCTTCTTCCAGCTGAGGACGACTCTCTGTGGCTAGTCCCTGCCCGAATCGTATGTAAATTTTGTAAATTATTAGTCTTATTTATGTCTGTTATGTTTAGCAAATCTTGTAAAATAAATTAAATGTACGAAATTTAGACAGGCAAATGGAAATACATATGACGAATGTACCACAAGACAGACTGCCCTAAAATTATTAACCTGCTTATACAGCTATAAGTTTTTATCATACCCCGTTATCCCAGTCTACTTAAGATACTGCACCATACCTGGTTCATATTTTGACAATAAGAATAAATAATTGTGCCAGAATGTTATCGTCTGCTCATGACCCTCAGTCTGCTCAAAAACCATGACTTCTTTCATTTGCTCAAATGTAATGGTTTGTTTGTCAGATGTTGGGAAAATAGAATCTAATACATCTAATACCGAGTCGAAAGTTCAAAACAAATAATTACAATCCGGAGAACACTGCATAATTTTGTAAAATTTATAATTTAATAAAATGCCTATATATATATATATATATATATATATATATATATATATATATATATATATATATATATATATATATATATATATATATATATATATTAAAGTGAAAATGTTCTCGAGTGTGTATTATATAATTTCCATACCCAGCGTAAGCAGAAAGATAAAGTCTGCCGCGGCTGGGTCTCGAACCCGCAACCTTCGAATTACTAGATCGACGCTCTACCAGCTGAGCTACACGGCCAGACGGATTTGAGACTGGAAATTATGAAATATATACTGAATGTCATAAACATACTCGTTTATATTAATTCAGCATCGAACAATACTATATTATAGAACTAGTATAGTAGTACTACATGGAACAATACTATATTATAGAACTAGTATAATAATAATAATAATAATAATAATAATAATAAAAAACATTTATATAGTATAGAACAATACTATATAATAGAACTGGTATTGTTCGATGCTGAATTAATATAAACGAGTACGTTTATGACATTCAGTATATATTTCATAATTTCCAGTCTCAAATCCGTCTGGCCGTGTAGCTCAGTTGGTAGAGCGTCGATCTAGTAATTCGAAGGTCGCGGGTTCAAGACCCAGCCGCGGCAGACTTTATCTATCTGCTTACGCTGGGTATGGAAATGATATAATGCACACTCGAGAACATTTTCACCTAATATATATATATATATATATATATATATATATATATATATATATATATATATATATATATATATATATATATATATATATATATATATATATATATATATATATATATA